CGGGAGCAGCCCAAGCCGTCAAGCTCCTCATATCGCCAGTCTCAAAAAAAAAAAAAAAAAAAAAAAGCGTTGCAACCCGCACCCCTCCACAGAAAGATCGGGGGTCGGGGCGATGCTCTCAGTCGGGGTCTTCTAGACCGAAAACGGATCTGCGGACAGTTATTTTGTCTAAGAAGACCTCAGCTAAATGGTCCTACCATTGTCAGGTCCCTGAGGGCTACCCACCTGGGGAGGAAAGGATAACACCTCAGTATACGGTGCCCAATCCTCCTCAGTGCCCTCACGGAGGTTTATATCAGAAGACTAATTCATAGATACTAAACATGGTAGGGTTACATATATGTAGGATGACAGGAATGAGTGTTTCCATCACAAGCCTGCATAAAACAGTATAAAATCTCAAAGACAACATACACGATGATCTGAAGGCTATGTGTGTTCATTCAAAGAAAGGTTTTCCTATGGATTAATTAGTAGAAAAGTCCATTTCTACTGTGCATTGTGCCTCTTGCTATGGAACATGCAGTGATTTTCCCTACTCACATTCCATCAGGTCGTAAATGGCTCTGGTCTTAGCAAAGGTGTTGGGGTTGCCATGGTAACCAGTGGCCTGTGGTCATTCGCAGACATCCTGGCGCCCAGTCTATTGGGTGAGGGGTCTGTGACGACTTGTTAATCTAATGAATAACTGATTTGTTAAATCAAATGAAAAATTGTGTTTTTGATTGGTCCAGACGCTACACAGCTCGAGTTCCTGAAGGGGAACGTCTCTAGGTTACGTATGTAACCATGGTTCCCTGAGGGAACGAGACACTGTGTCTCTTTGCCATACTCCCTGCATCCCTTCAGGCGCTACTTCATCGAAGCTGGTTTGCCCTCTGCCGGATGCGCTTTTATACTTTCTGGTGCTTACGTCACCCCGCTCGTGACGTCTCGCTACTCCATTGGACTGATTTGACACGTGCTTCAGAACGCAGTCACGCAAGGGCGTTCCCAAAGCGACTTCGACGCAGCGTCTCGTTCCCTCGGGGAACCATGGTTACATACGTAACCTAGAGACGTTCTTAGCAATGCATATTACTAATCAAAAATTAAGTTTTAATATATTTACAGTAAGACATTTACAAAATATCTTCATGGAACATGATCTTTACTTAATATCCTAATGATTTTTTGCATAAAAGAAAAATCAATAATTTTGACCCATACAATGTGTTTTTGGCTAATGCTACAAATATACCCCAGCGACGTAAGACTGGTTTTGTGGTCCAGGGTCACATATATATTTCCGTTATCAGAAATTTACATTTACATTTAGTGATTTAGAAGACGCTTTTATCCAAAGCGACTTACAAATGAGGACAATAAAAGCAGTCAAAACTAACAAAAGAGCAACAATATATAAGTGCAAATGACAAGTCTCGGTTAGCCTAACACAGTACACGTAGCAAGGGGTGTGTGTATGTATATATATATACATACACACACACACACACACACACACACACACACAAAGAAAAACAAGTAGAAAGAATAGAAAAAATAGAAAGCTAGTGTATGTTTTTTTTTTTTTTTTTTACCACATTTCCATCATCTTCTTAAAGGGCTGACACTATTGTAATATCACACATAATTAGTAGATTATGTATCACTGTTGTCTAAAAATCACACTTAATTTGTTGTAATTGCATTATTATTGAAGGGTGCCAGAAATGTCACACTAAAGGAAACAGATTTAGGATGTTAATGATTCTGATACTGTTAATGAAGTGTCATTTTTCTCTCTCTTGCTTTTTATTGTTATCCTTTTTTTCATTCTAAGTCATGTTGCTTTTAGCTTTCCCTGCCAACATGCATGTCATTTCTGCCAAGAGGTAATAAATTCACTACCAATGGTTACAGTTTGCTTAAGATACGTGTTCTTGAATAGAAATAATGTTTCTGCATTGTCATTGTATTAATACAGGCAGGAGAATGGTAACGGCTATGTTTCAGCATGTTATGGATTAACATTGTAAATATATGTCATTTCACACCCTCCATTCATTACACAACTTCACCTACACTTTCTGAAACTGCCTTAAACACCCCACCCTGAATGAGCAAGTGGGGTCTGTCCCAGCAGTTTTCTGCAGAGATATAATGGGGCAATCCTGTGTTTCAAATATATATATTTTTTTTCTTCTGTGCTAATACACCTGCTTAAGTCGAACAGTGTTACACTTGAGCTTGTGTTGAAAATTCTCAGAGAAACCTGTTTAACCTGCAGAGAGTGTTAGGTGCAAAAAGGGGAAATAAGATTTTCTAAAGACTTTCAATCAGTATTTGAAGTAAGGTATCAGTAAGGTGTTTTTTAAAGACGTTTCATGCTGAAAATGCAGTAAAACCGCAATATTGTGAAATATTATTACAATTTCTATTGATATTACAATATCTATTTCAGTGTATGTAATTTATTCCAAAACTTAATTTCAGCAGCCAGTCTTCAGTGTCACATGATCCTTCAGAAATTATTCTAATATGCTGATTTGGTGCTCAAGAAACATTTCTTCTTATTATCCATGTTAAAAACAGTTGTGCTGCTTAATGTTTTTGTGGGAAACTCTTTCTGACCCCAGATTTTTGAATGGCAGTGTATATGGAAACGTATCAACAGATCTGTTGTGTGCATTCATATGTATTTTCGGAGTGAAACTCTCTGACCTCTGAAACAATGTGCTCAGGAATAGCTCCTGTGAGCGTTCTCACCTAGCCGGTGTGTTGGGTGTGTGTGTGTGTGTTTGTTTCAGGTGTGTATTCAGCGCTGTAGGTGTGTGTGTGTGTGTGTGTTTATGATAGAGGTTGATGTCTGTAGGTGTGATGAAAAGGGCAGGGCTAACCGAGCCGGTCTCTGATCAGGTGGAGTGGGAGAGTGTCTGTATATGCATTTGTCTCTCTGTACCTGGCGGTGTGTTGATGTATGTTTAGCCTCTCTCTCCTGAGTCAGGCACTGAGGGCCGTTCATCTGGGGAACATGTTCAGCCTTATCAAACTTCAGCGTGTCTTCACTGTGCACCAAGTGCCCAAAGTAAGTTCATTCATTTAACAAACACAAAACTACCACAACAAACAGATGTGATTTTAACTGTAGTTGTTTAAGGTGTTCTTGGTATAGTAAAATTGATGGTAGGAAGTCAAGAATCACTTGATTTTTTTCTTTACCCTCTTATAACTATGCAACCTGATGTGAAACAGTTTGAAGGTACCCAAACATTTTCATATTAATGCTTTGCATTATTTTGCTAGCTTGCCTGTGGAGAGAACTTCTTTGCTGTCTTTATTAAATGAGGGGTTTGTGTGACTCTCTTTTTCCATGGTAGGCATTTCACGAGGACAGTATCATCTCTGGATATCGACACCCTCGTAGTTCGGCCACAGACTGTGTGTTGAGTCTCTTTCAGCTCACCAATGAGACGCTCAATGTCTGGACTCACTTTCTACCAACCTGGTACATTGAAACTGTAGTTCTTTTGCGCAGTCTCTCTCACTGTTTATCTCTCATGCTTGCTCTCTATATGCATATCTCCATGCTTTTGCCACTTTCTCAGTATGGCTTTTACAATAAATTTTGTTATCTTATAACTCACAGACGATAGTATACGAACTTTAACAGCACAATGGCCCTTGGTTTCATGGCAACAGTATTTAGACTGACTGTGTGTGTATGGTGTGCTGAGACCTACAGTAGTTTGACTTGAGAATCTCCACAGTGGATTGTTATGTCCCTCACCAGCTGAGCCGCTCCCAGGAGAGTTCACCTTGCTGGATGATGACAGAAGGTCTGCTATCACTGTTAATGAGCTCCTAGTGTGATTCTCACCAGAGCGTCCTCCAGACGTAAACATGTTGGAGAGTCACTCATGTCAGCTTTACTTCTTTAACTTGTATTTGGCTTTATTGTGATATTATAGGGTTTTATTTATTTTTTATTAACTACGAACCAGTGCTTTACAAGAAGCCTGTGTTTTAAGTCACACACATACTTTTTAAATAATAAATGTATCTATGCATACAGTATATATATATTTATATATATATATATATATATATATATATATATATACATATATATACAGGTGCATCTCAATAAATTAGAATGTCATGGAAAAGTTCATTTATTTCAGTAATTCAACTCAAATTGTGAAACTC